CTGTACCGTGTCCGCAGTCTCTGGTCATCTCCTGTACCGTGTCCGCAGTCTCTGGTCATCTCCTTTACTGTGTCCGCAGTCTCTGATCATCTCATGTACCGTGTCCGCAGTCTCTGGTCATCTCCTGTACCGTGTCCGCAGTCTCTGGTCATCTCCTGTACCGTGTCCGCAGTCTCTGGTCATCTCCTGTACCGTGTCCGCAGTCTCTGGTCATCTCCTGTACCGTGTCCGCAGTCTCTGATCATCTCCTGTACTGTGTCCGCAGTCTCTGATCATCTCCTGTACTGTGTCCGCAGTCTCTGATCATCTCCTGTACTGTGTCCGCAGTCTCTGGTCATCTCCTGTACTGTGTCCGCAGTCTCTGGTCATCTCCTGTACTGTGTCCGCAGTCTCTGGTCATCTCCTGTACTGTGTCCGCAGTCTCTGGTCATCTCCTGTACTGTGTCCGCAGTCTCTGGTCATCTCCTGTACTGTGTCCGCAGTCTCTGGTCATCTCCTGTACTGTGTCCGCAGTCTCTGGTCATCTCCTGTACTGTGTCCGCAGTCTCTGGTCATCTCCTGTACTGTGTCCGCAGTCTCTGGTCATCTCCTGTACTGTGTCCGCAGTCTCTGGTCATCTCCTGTACTGTGTCTGCAGTCTCTGGTCATCTCCTGTACTGTGTCTGCAGTCTCTGGTCATCCCCTGTACTATGTCCGCAGTCTCTGGTCATCTCCTGTACTGTGTCCGCAGTCTCTGGTCATCTCCTGTACTATGTCTGCAGTCTCTGGTCATCTCCTGTACTGTGTCTGCAGTCTCTGGTCATCCCCTGTACTATGTCCGCAGTCTTTGGTCATCTCCTGTACTGTCCGCAGTCTCTGGTCATCTCCTGTACTATGTCCGCAGTCTCTGGTCATCTCCTGTACTGTGTTTGCAGTCTTTGGTCATCCCCTGTACTATGTCCGCAGTCTTTGGTCATCTCCTGTACTGTGTTTGCAGTCTCTGGTCATCTCCTGTACTGTGTCCGCAGTCTCTGGTCATCTCCTGTACTATGTCCGCAGTCTCTGGTCATCTCCTGTACTGTGTCCGCAGTCTCTGGTCATCTCCTGTACTGTGTCCGCAGTCTCTGGTCATCTCCTGTACTATGTTCGCAGTCTCTGGTCATCTCCTGTACTATGTCTGCAGTCTCTGGTCATCTCCTGTACTATGTCCGCAGTCTCTGGTCATCTCCTGTACTGTGTCCGCAGTCCATTGGTTTAGAGTATTTTTTTCCTGTTTTCTGCCTCTAAAAACTAGGCGCGTCTTATGGAGTGAAAAATACGGTAACTAAGATATATATATATATATATACACAAAGAACCATAGCACAGTACAGCACAGCACAGCACAGCACAGTACAGCACAGCACAGCACAGTACAGCACAGCACAGCACAGTACAGCACAGCACAGCACAGCACAGTACAGCACAGCATAGCACAGTACAGTACAGCACAGTACAGCACAGCACAGCACAGCACAGTACAGCACAGCATAGCACAGTACAGTACAGCACAGTACAGCACAGCACAGCACAGCACAGCAAAGAGATATCAGAGAGGAAGTTAAAGAGTTAAGTTACTTGCCAATTAAGCCTTACCCTTAAGCAGATCCAAGTCTCAGAGCAAAGGGTCTCCCCAGGTGGTATTGATGTTACAATTGGGAGACGTCTTCAACTTACTTTTTAGGCCTGCTAGCCTGTGTTTTAAAGTCCCCCCAGCAGGGGGGTGGCTCTGAGTAACTGACCAATACTCTGTTTAGGGAGGGATCGTCGGGCGGACTCTGAATTAGAACCAACATCTTCACAATCCATGATATGAAACATAGGGGACAAACTGCCCTGAGGAATGTTCGTTTCATTCTGTCACCTGGCTGCTAGGTTTTATGAGGTTACAATCTCTTTCAATTCCTGGGAAAAGCTGCCTTATCTCTGTTACGAGGTGAGAGATTCCACATGTTCTGGGGCAGCCAGGCTCTGTCTTTCCTGGGGGGCTTTGTAGCTCTGGGCCCCCTGCTGCTCTACCTGCCAGTGACACTTTTAGCACACACACATCTGTCCCTGTGCCTCTCAGGAAGGAAGGGGGAAGGAGAATGAGAAATGAGAGACACAATATATACTCAGTACCAAGGTGGAGGTGCCTACAAAATGGCTGAACTGCGTACTTCACTGTGTTTTGCGCAGTTTTTGCGACAATGCCAGCCATACATGGTCCGAATTCTGGACGATTTTTCATCCGAAAATCGAAAACGTCGTTCGCATCGATAATCCGATGGGGCTGTTAATGATTTCGAAAATCGTCCGACCGAGTCATAAAGTTCACCCCATATAACAGGCGAATCTTCCGTTCCTTCCAGGTCACGGCTCACGTGCGTATTCGTTTAGGAAAAACGATCGGGGGGTTACTAATGAGTGGGGGATTTGATCAACCTGAGTCCATCAGCCAAGGTGGGAAATGATCGATTGTTTTGCATCGATCGGCGGCACTGAGATACTTTGTTCATGAATACGATTGTATTCCGATCGATCGGATTATTGTCAGAAACAGAGGTGCGATCGATCATTTACAATTGAAAGTCACGCAGCGACTTTTTACCCCCTTCCCGGGAGGACTGCGCTTTGTCAGTGTGTGGACTCCCCTCCTCCGCTGGAAGAATATTCAGAAAATGCTCTGCGGAAGAAATGTTGAGATTTCCCAGCAAATATTCGACTTACGAGTCGCATTCTTCCTCCGTCCGCGCTGCGATCGATCATTCCTATCCCCGAGGACTCTTCTGCTAATCACTCTGAGTGGGGGGGATGGGGGGGGGGTCTGAGCATTCCGCCATATTCATCGTCCGAGGCGACTCTGTACATCGAACTCTTCAGCCTGTGATCAGCGAATGTTCCCTCCCCTTACATCAGGTTCCTCATCAGAGCCCCCTTGCATCAGAGTCCCTCCCCTTACACCAAGGTCCTCTTCAGAGTCCCCCTTTACATTAGGGTCCTCATCAAACCCCTCCTTTACATTAGAGTCCCTCTGCCCTTACACCAGTGTCCCCCTTAGATTCCTTTTACATCAGGGTCCCTATCAGAATCCTCCCTTACATCACAGTCTTCATCAGAGCCCCCCTTAGATTCCTTTTTACATCAGGGTCCCTGTTATTTCAGAGTCCCCCTTTACATTAGGGTCCTCATCTAACCCCTCCTTTACATTAGAGTCCCTCCCCCCTTATACCAATGTCCCCATTAGATTCCTTTTACATCAGGGTCCCTATTACTTCAGAATCCCCCTTACATCAGAGTCCCTGTTTACATCACAGTCTTCATCAGAGCCCCCCTTACATCAGGGTCCCTATTATTTCAGAGTCCCCCTTACATTGGTGTCCCATTGGACCCTATTTTACATCAGGGTCCCCATTAGATTCCTTTTACATCAGGGTTCCTATTACTTCAGAATCCCCCTTACATCAGGGTCCCCATCAGAATCCTCCCTTACATCAGAGTCCCCCCACTTACATCACAGTCTTCATCAGAGCCCCCCTTACATCAGAGCCCCCCTTACATCAGAGTCCCCATCAGATTGCTTTTTACATCAGGGTCCCTATTATTTCACAGTCCCCTTAACATTGGTGTCCCTATTGGACTCTATTTTACATCAGGGTCCCCATTAGGATCTCCAAAAGAAAATTCATTTGGAATTTGACCCGTGTATGGCCTGCCTTATGCAGGCCATAGATGGGTCGAAAATTGGGCGATTTTTTGGCCGAAAAAAAATCGGCCGATTTTCACACCGTTAGCGGGTTAATTGGTCGGATGTTTTTGGGGGTTTTGGCACATTTTTTTTTCATCGGTAGAGTTGGAAAATTCGCAGCCGATAGTGACGATCGCCCGATTTTCCCGGCAATGATGGGCAAATCGGCTGATCGTTTCACCGATAAAAAATCTGCGCATGAGCCGTGACCTGGAAGAAGAAGAAAAAGAAGAATTCCAGTCCGCTATTATATTTTATATGAAGTCTTGCGGTCGCAACAATGTATCCTTATGTATCCGAATAAAAACATCTGTATCCGAAATGGATACAAATAGATACAAATAGATACAAATGGATACATTGTTGCAACTGCAAGACTTTAATATAGAATATAATAGCGGAGCTCTCTGCAGGGACAGAAGTAAAAATGCCGGCCGTAGATGGGACGAAAATTTTCCGATTTTTTCACCATTGGTGGTAACGTTGGCCAATTGAACGACCGATTTTTCGGTTTTTTTTTTTAAAAAAAATAGCTGGTTTTCGACCCGTGTATTGCCGGCTTTAGTGTCCGAGGAATCGGAAATGAAAGTCGTCCTCTGGTAAGTTCCTGCGGGAAAAACGTTCCTGGAAGTTTCTGGTCAGGAGGAGAAAAATGAGGATCTTGCGCAGCTCGAGGCTTTATTCTGAGTCCTGCGCTATGGAATATGTCGGCGTCATTGGGGAACTCTACTGCACAGTTATGCCGGCCATACATGGTCTGAATTCCGAACAATTTTTCGTCCAAAAATCAAAATCGACGTTCGCTCGGTAATCTGATGGCACCATCAATGATTTCGAAAATCGGCCGACCGAGTCATAAGGTTCTCCCCATATAACAGCCGAAACTTCTGTTCCTTCCGGGTCGCGGCTCATGGCGCGTATTCTTTTCGGAAAAACAATCGTACGATTTGACCGTCATTGAGTCGAAAATCGGTTGTTTTTCACAAATTTTCTAACATGCCCAAAAAGGGGAAGAGCCATGAAAAATCGGCCGGTGCCATTGACCCACTCACAGAGCGAAAATTGGCCGATTATTCTTAGGTCCGATTTTCAGACGAAAAATCAGTCAAATTTTGACCCGTGTGTGGCCGGCCTTAACCACTTGCCATACGGCCGCTGTCCATAAACGGCACCCGCATTTTCAAGCTGTGTGAGAAACGGTGCCTGCTGTGTCCTCCGATCGTCGTACGGGACCTCTGTGTGAGCTCCCGATCATGTGATCACTGATTGGCCAATCAGTGATCACATGCAGAGTAGTAAGCAATGATGTCACTTCTGACATCATTGTTTACTACGTGTGAAATCTGTGAATGATCACCGAGATCACATGGTACAGGGCCATTCACAACAGCCTTGTACCATGTGACAAGCTTTGACCAATCACAGCTCACTCAGTAGTTCTCAATGGCTGCAAGAAAGGAGGGGAAAGTGTCCGGACTGGAAGGGGGGGAAAGTGTCCGGACTGGAAGGGGGGAAAGTGTCCGGACTGGAAGGGGGGGAAAGTGTCCGGACTGGAAGGGGGTGAAAGTGTCCGGACTGGAAGGGGGTGAAAGTGTCCGGACTGGAAGGGAGGGAAAGTATCCGGACTGGAAGGGAGGGAAAGTGTCCGGGCTGGAAGGGGGTGAAAGTGTCCGGACTGGAAGGGGGGGAAATCGTCCGGACTGGAAGGGGGGAAAGTGTCCGGACTGGAAGGGGGGGAAGTGTCCGGACTAGAAGGGGGGGAAAGTGTTCGGACTGGAAGGGGGGGGAAAGTGTCCGGACTGGAAGGGGGGAAAGTGTCCGGACTGGAAGGGGGGGAAAGTGTCCGGACTGGAAGGGGGTGAAAGTGTCCGGACTGGAAGGGGGTGAAAGTGTCCGGACTGGAAGGGGGGGAAAGTGTCCAGACTGGAAGGGGGGGAAAGTGTCCGGACTGGAAGGGGGGAAAGTGTCCGGACTGGAAGGGGGGGAAAGTGTCCGGACTGAAAGGGGGGGAAAGTGTCTGGACTGGAAGGGGTTAACCTGAAGATCGCCCAGCTTTATTATTGTGATGTAACTTATTACAACACCTGGGAGCGTTAAAAAAATTAGAGACGCAAATCCAGTGCGTTTCCGCCAAACTGGAAAGCGAGGGTAAGGGGATGCAGACCCCGCCACTTTCCTCATCAGAGCTCTGCAGGTGCAGCCGCTGGTCGATTATTATAAAGTCGCTCCCATTCACAGTCGCTCAGCACAGGACACAGAGAAACAAACAGCTTCAGAATAACAAGAGGGAAGAATCTGCTACAAATGTACGCAGATCACCCGGAGTGGGTGGGGTTTGTTCACCCGGAGGGGGGCGGGTTTATTCTCAACAAAAGAGGAGTTACCCTTTAAGTCCATAAATACAATTTCTTCAGCCTGTTTTTCTATTACTTTTACCCGTTACCCCCCCCCCCCCCCCCCCCCCCCCCATGCGAATAACACACTTCCTGTCCAAGGGTGACCACACTCCTTCGCTGTATCTACGGTTGTCACCCAGGCCGGACATCAGGATCAACAAGAATCGTATGGACTCGGGGAAAATGTTCTCAGCCTGAAATAAGAAAACAAATGCAGCCGTCACATCTAAGGACAGGTGAGCCGCAATCTACGAAAATCTTGTTTCTCGGTTTACGATTTCCTTCAGAGTGGATGTAAACTTTAAGTGACATTTTCTTTACTAAGTATTAACAATTTACATTCCTGTCTACACGCTCTCCTGCGGCGGCGGCGGCGCGCCATTTCTCTGATAATAGTTTCTGACCTTTTCACCGCTCAAAAATAATTTATTGTTGAAAATTCTGAGAGCCCAACACACACAGACTGGAATGCAGAAACGTTTTGTTCCATCGGAAGCATTAAAGCAGAATTTCACTTATTATATATATATATATATATGTTTATTACTATTATTATTATTTATTTTCATTTTTTTTAATAATTTTTTTTAAGAATTCCACGTATGTATATTTTATTTTTATGTTTTTTTAAGAATTCCAGTTATAGATATCTAGTTTTTTTAATATAACAATTCCAGGTATAGATGTTTTATTTTTTTTTTTTTTGAAAGAATTCCAGGAATGGATATTTTATTTTTATGTTTTAAGATTTCCAGGTATGGATTTTTTTTTAAACAATTTCAGGTATGGATATTTTTATTTTTATGTCTTTAAGAAATCCAGTTATAGATATCTAGATTTTTTTTAATATAACAATTCCAGGTATGGATGTTTTATTTTTTTTTTCAAAGAATTCCAGGTATGGATATAAAATATTTATGTTTTAAGATTTCCAAGTATGGATATTTTTTTTAAAAAACAATTCCAGTTATTGATATTTTATTTTTGTGTCTTTAAGACATCCAGGCATGGATTTTTTAAAAAGAATTCCAGGTATGGATATTTTTATTATTTTTTTAACAATTCCAGGTATGGATATTTTATTTCTATGTTTTTAAGAATTCCAGGTATGGATATTTTTTATGTTTTTAGGAATTCCAGGTATGGATATTTTTTTTATGTTTTTAGGAATTCCAGGTATGGATATTTTTTTATGTTTTTAGGAATTCCAGGTATGGATATTTTTTATGTTTTTAGGAATTCCAGGTATGGATATTTTATTTTTATCTTTTTTAAAGAATTCCAGGTTTAAATATTTTATTTTTTTATGTTTTTAGGAATTCCAGGTATTGATATTTTATTTTTTATTTTTTTAAAGAATTCCAGGTACAGATATTTAATTTTTATCTTTTTTAAAGAATTCCAGGTTTAAATATTTCATTTTTATGTTTTTAGGAATTTCAGGTATTGATATTTTATTTTTATTTTTTTTATTCATATATATAATTTTTTTTTTTAAATTATGGATATTGTTGTTTTTTATTGTTATTTTTGTAAAGAATTCCAGGTAAGAGTTGAATATGATTTTTTTTTTTTTACTTCTACATGCATTTATTGAATTTATCAAAGAAAGGACAACAGATGTAAAACCTGTTCAAACCCGTAAAACATGGACGTTGAAGTGATATAAAACCCAAAAGCAAACATTGATTATGTGGCAGCTTACCGATTCCTAGATGTGACGGCTGCATTCGTTTTCTTTTTTAGGCTTTCTTTCTTTTATTTTCACCAGTATATCTGTGATGTATGGGATTCTGTATGTCTCTGCGTGTGTCATGTATGTAGAAGTGATATCTGTTGATGGGGGCGCGGTCAGGGGAGATAGGAATCGCCGGGCGGAGGATCCCGGGAAACGCTCTCTCTCTCCTGTTATTGAACATTTTGGCCGCCAGTTTCCATGCGAAGATTCCTGTTTTATTCAGATCTCCGGAGGCCGCTAATCCGTGTTGCGAGGTCATCACACGGCTGAGACTGGCGTGTCATTAATATGTAGAGGACACATTAGTCATACGTGAAGGTTCAAGCTGCTCACTGACACATCCGCTGCATTTATTGTAGACTGGCCACTGTACTGGGGGGAGGGGCCTATGTGGTCACGGGGTGGTCTGGGAGGAGACAGTGGAGCGCAGGATTTTGATTGACAGCAGCAAGAGCCAATGGATCCTTCATTTGCCTCTGTCAGCAGATAGTGGAGAGAGCTGCTACAGATGGGGCTCAGCGCTAGAGTGCTCCATTTTTTTTTTCCGGGGAAGGGGGGGGGTTGTTTGTTTGTTTCTTTTGGGGGGGGGTTGGGTTTTTTTTTTGTTTGTTTTTCTCTTGCTCTCTCACCCCCCTCTGTCTATCACCCTCTCTTTCTCTCTCACCCCCCCTCTTTCTCACCCCCATCTTCTCGCCCCCTTCTCTCCCCCCACCCCAACCCTCTCTCTCACCCTCCTCTATCTCTCTCCCCCCTCTTTCTCTCTCACCCCCCTCTCTCTTTCACCCCCTCTCTCTCTCTCTCTCACCCCACACTCTCTCACCCTCTCTCTCTCTCTCACCCACACTCTCTCACCCCCCTCTCCTCTTTCTCTTACCCCCCTCACCTACCTCTCTCCATCACCCCCCCCCTTTCTTACTTCTTTCTCCCTCACCCCTCCTCTCTCTGTCACACCCCCCCCCTTCCTCTCTCACCCCCTTTTTTTTTCCTCTCACCCCCCTCACCTCCCTCTCTCCCTTACTCCCTCCTCTCTCTCCACCCCCCTCTGTCCCTCACTCCCCTCTCTCTCCTTACCCCCCCCCTCTCCTCACCACTTGTTTCTCTCTCACACCCCTCACATTGCTCTGTCTCTCACTCCCCTCACCTCCATCTCTCCCTTACCCCCCCCCCCTCTCTCTCACCCCCCCTCCCTCCTTCTCTCCCCCTTCTTCTGTTACTTTCCTTTTCTATCCCCCCCCCCCCCCCCCTTCTCTCTCACCCCCCCCTCACTTCCATCTCTCTCTCTCACCCCCCTTCTCTTTCACCCCTCACCTTCCTCCCTCTCACCAGCTCACCCCTCTCCCTCTCTTTCACTTCACCCCCCCCCTTCTCTCTAACCCCCCTTCCATCCCACTCTCCCCTTCTTCTATTTCTCTCCTTTTCCATCTCCCCCATTTCTTCACTGGTGCTGATGATCCTGGGTCCCGGTTCCATGGTCTCTGTATTGTAAAGCCAGAAAGCCTTTCATCCATTCATCCAAATTTCCGAGGAGAGCAGCAATCAGCGCGGCCCTCGTCAGTGCAATTACCCAGCATACGTGGGAATGCGAAACAAGTCGAAGGACGAGAAAAGCAGCAATTAGGAAATTACACACAATTATCATAGACTGGGAGATTAATTGGAACGGGTTGGAGGTTCCTCAATGCTAGATTTACTTTCCCATCACAAACTACATTTTTACTAAGTGCCTGTACATGCCACTCTGCACATGGTAGCCTTTGTATGACACATGGCACTGACATACACTATATTGCCAGAAGTGTTGGGCCCGCCCTCCCAATCATGTGTGATTCAGGTGTTCCAATCCCCTCCCAATCATGTGATTCAGGTGTTCCAATCCCCTCCCAATCATGTGATTCAGGTGTTCCAATCCCCTCTAAAATCATGTGATTCAGGTGTTCCAATCCCCTCCCAATCATGTGATTCAGGTGTTCCAATCCCCTCCCAATCATGTGATACAGGTGTTCCAATCCCCTCCCAATCATGTGATTCAGGTGTTCCAATCCCCTCCAATCATGTGATTCACGTGTTCCAATCCCCCCCAATCATGTGATTCAGATGTTTCAATCCCCTCCAATCATGTGATTCAGGTGTTCCAATCCCCTCCCAATCATGTGATTCAGGTGTTCCAATCCCCTCCCAATCATGTGATTCAGGTGTTCCAATCCCCTCCCAATCATGTGATTCAGGTGTTCCAATCCCCTCCAATCATGTGATTCAGGTGTTCCAATCCCCTCCCAATCATGTGATTTAGGTGTTCCAATCCCCTCCAATCATGTGATTCACGTGTTCCAATCCCCTCCAATCATGTGATTCAGGTGTTCCAATCCCCTCCAATCATGTGATTCAGGTGTCCCAATCCCCCTCCCAATCATGTGATTCAGGTGTTCCAATCCCCTCCCAATCACGTGATTCAGATGTTCCAATCCCCTCCAATCATGTGATTCAGGTGTTCCAATCCCCTCCAATCATGTGATTCAGGTGTCCCAATCCCCTCCCAATCACGTGATTCAGGTGTTCCAATCCCCTCCAATCACGTGATTCAGGTGTTCCAATCCCCTCCCAATCATGTGATTCAGGTGTTCCAATCCCCTCCCATCATGTGATTCCCCCCCTCAGGTGTTCCAATCGCCTCCCAATCATGTGATTCAGGTGTAGGTTCCAATCCCCTCCAATCATGTGATTCAGGTGTTCCATCCCCCTCGCCAATCATCGTGATTCAGGTGTTCCAATCCCCTCCAATCATGTGATTCACGTGTTCCAATCCCCTCCAATCATGTGATTCAGGTGTTTTCCAATCCCCTCCAATCCATGTGATTCAGGTGTCCCAATCCCCCTCCCAATCATGTGATTTCAGTGTTCCAATCCCCTCCCAATCACGTGATTCAGATGTTTCCAATCCCCTCCAATCAAGTGATTCAGGTGTTCCAATCCCCCTCCAATCATGTGATTCAGGTGTTTCCAATCCCCTCCCAATCACGTGATTCAGGTGTTCCAATCCCCTCCAATCACGTGATTCAGGTGTTCCAATCCCCACCCAATCATGTGATATTCAGGTGTTCCAATCCCCTCCCAATTCATAGTGATTCAGGTGTCCCAATCCCCTCCCAATCATGTGGTTCAGGTGTTCCAATCCTCTCCCAATCACCTGATTCAGGTGTCCCAATCCCCTCCAATCATGTGATTCAGGTGTTCCAAATCCCCTCCCAATCATGTGATTCAGGTGTTCCAATCCCCTCCCAATGATGTGATTCAGGTGTTCCAATCCCCCTCCCAATCATGTGATTCAGGTGTTCCAATCCCCTCCCAATCATGTGATTCAGGTGTTCCCAACCCCTCCAATCATGTGATTCAGGTGTTTCAATCCCCTCCCGATCATGGTAATCAGGTGTTCCAATCCCCTCCCAATCACATGATTCAGGTGTTCCATTCCCCTCCAATCATGTGAATTCAGGTGTTTCCAATCCCCTCCAATCATTGTTATTCAGGTGTTCCAATCTCCTCCCAAACATGTGATTCAGGTGGTTTCCAATCCCCTCCATATCATGTGATTCAGGTGTTCCAATCCCCCTCCAATCATGTGATTCAGGTGTTCCAATCCCCGCACCCAATCATATGAATTCAGGTGTTCCAATCCCCTCCAATCATGTGATTCACGTGTTCCAATCCCCCCCCAATCATGTGATCCCTCAGGGTGTTTCCAATCCCCTCCAATCATGTGATTCAGGTGCCCCAATCCCCTCCCAATCATGCGTGATTCAGGTGTTCCAATCCCTCCCAATCATGTGATTCAGGTGTTCCAATCCCCTCCAATCATGTGATTCAGGTGTTCCAATCCCTCCCAATCATGTGATTCAGGTGTTCCAATCCCCTCCCCAATCATGTGATTCAGGTGTTCCAATCCCCTCCCAATCATGTGATTCAGGTGTTCCAATCCCCCTCCAATCATGTGATTCAGGTGTTCCAATCCCCCTCCCCAATCCCCTCCAATCATGTGATTCAGGAGTTCCAATCCCCATCCAATCATGTGATTCAGGTGTCCCAATCCCCTCCCAATCATGTGATTCAGGTGTTCCAATCCCCTCCCAATCACGTGATTCAGGTGTTCCAATCCCCTCCAATCATGTGATTCAGGTGTTCCAATCCCCTCCAATCATGTGATTCAGGTGTTCCAATCCCCTCCCAATCACGTGGATTCAGGTGTTCCAATCCCCTCCAATCACGTGATTCAGGTGTTCCAATCCCCTCCCAATCATGTGATTCAGGTGTTACGAACAAATCCCCTCCCAATCATGTGATACAGGTGTTCCAATCCCCTCCCCAATCATGTGATTCAGGTGCTTCCAATCTCCCCCCCCCCAATCATGTGATTCCAGGTTGTTCCAATCCCCTCCCAATCATGTGATTCAGTGTTCCAATCCCCTCCAATCATGTGATTCACGTGTTCCAATCCCCTCCAATCATGTGATTCAGGTGTTCCAATCCCCTCCCAATGATGTGATTCAGGTGTTCCAATCCCCATCCCAATCATGTGATTCAGGTGTTCCAATCCCCTCCCAATCACGTGATTCAGGTGTTCCAATCCCCTCCAATCACGTGATTCAGGTGATCCAATCCCCTCCCAATCATGTGATTCAGGTGTTTTCCAATCCCCCTCCCAATCATGTGATTCAGGTGTCCCAATCCCCTGCCAATCATGTGGTTCAGGTGTTCCAATCCTCTCCCAATCACCTGATTCAGGTGTCCCAATCCCCTCCAATCATGTGATTCAGGTGTTCCAATCCCCTCCCAATCATGTGATTCAGGTGTTCCAATCCCCTCCCAATGATGGTGTATTCAGGTGTTCCAATCCCCTCCCCAATCATTGTGATTCAGGTGTTCCAATCCCCTCCCAATCATGTGATTCAGGTGTTCCAAACCCCCTCCAATCATGTGATTCAGGTGGTTTCAATCCCCTCCCGATCATGGTAATCAGGTGTTCCAATCCCCTCCCAATCACATGATTCAGGTGTTCCATTCCCCCTCCAATCATGTGATTCAGGTGTTCCAATCCCCTCCAATCATGTTATTTTCAGGTGTTCCAATCTCCTCCCAAACATGTGATTTCAGGTGTTCCAATCCCCTCCAATATCATGTGATTCAGGTGTTCCAATCCCCTCCAATCATGTGATTCAGTGTGTTCCAATCCCCTCCCAATCATATGATTCAGGTGTTCCAATCCCTCCAATCATGTGATTCACGGTGTTTCCAATCCCCCCCAATCATGTGATTCAGGTGTTCCAATCCCCTCCCAATCATGTGATTCAGGTGCCCCAATCCCCTCCCAATGATGTGATTCAGGTGTTCCAATCCCCTCCCAATCATGTGATTCAGATGTTTCAATCCCCTCCAATCATGTGATTCAGGTGTTCCAATCCCCTCCCAATCATGTGATTCAGGTGTTCCAATCCCCTCCCAATCATGTGATTCAGGTGTTTCCAATCCCCCACCAATCATGTGATTCAGGTGTTCCAATCCCTCTCCAATCATGTGATTCAGGTGTTTCCAATCCCCTCCAATCATGTGAATTCAGGTGTGTTCCAATCCCCTCCAATCATGTGATTCAGTGTCCCAATCCCCTCCCCAATCAGTGATTCAGGTGTTCCAATCCCCTCCCAATCACGTGATTCAGATGTTCCAATCCCCTCCAATCATGTGATTCAGGTGTTTTCCAATCCCCCTCCAATCATGTGATTCAGGTGTTCCAATCCCCTCCCAATCACGTGATTCAGGTGTTCCAATCCCCTCCAATCACGTGATTCAGGTGTTCCAATCCCCTCCCAATCATGTGATTCAGGTGTTCCAATCCCCTCCCAATCATGTGATTCAGGTGTTCCAATCCCCTCCCAATCATGTGATTCAGGTGTTCCAATCCCCTCCCAATCATAGTGATTCAGGTGTTCCAATCCCCTCCCAATCATGTGATTCAGGTGTTCCAATCCCCTCCAATCATGTGATTTCACGTGTTCCAATCCCCTCCAATCATGTGATTCAGGTGTTCCAATCCCCTCCCAATGATGTGAGATTCAGGTGTTCCAATCCCCTCCCAATCAAGTGATTCAGGTGTTCCAATCCTCTCCCAATCATGTGATTCAGGTGTTTCCAAACCCCTCCAATCATGGTGATTCAGGTGTTTCAATCCCCCTCCCGATCATGGTAATCAGGTGTTCCAATCCCCTCCCAATCACATGATTCAGGTGTTCCATTCCCCTCCAATCATGTGATATCAGGTGTTCCAATCTCCTCCCAAACATGTGATTCAGTGTTCCAATCCCCCTCCTATATCATGGTGATTCAGTGTTCCAATCCCCCCAATCATGTGATTCAGGGATTAGTTCCAATCCCCTCCAATCATCGTGATTCAGGTGCCCCAATCCCCTCCCAATCATGTGATTCAGGTGTTCCAATCCCCTCCCCAATCATGTGGATTCAGATGTTTCAATCCCCTCCAATCATGTGATTCAGGTGTTCCAATCCCTCTCCCAATCATGAGATTCAGGTGTTCCAATCCCCTCCCAATCATGTGATTCAGGTGTTTCCAATCCCCTCCCAATCATGTGATTCAGAGTGTTCCAATCTCCCTCCAATCATGTGATTTCAGGTGTTCCAATCCCCTCCAATCATGTGATTTCAGGTGTTCCAATCCCCTCCAATCATGTGATTCAGGTGTCCCCAATCCCCCTCCCAATCAATGTGATTCAGTGTTCCAATCCCCTCCCAATCACACGTGATTCAGATGTTCCAATCCCCTCCAATCATGTGATTCAGGTGTTCCAATCCCCTCCAATCATGTGATTCAGTGATTCCAATCCCCTCCCAATCACGTGATTCATGTGTTCCAATCCCCTCCAATCACGTGATTCAGGGTGTTCCAATCCCCTCCCAATCATGTGATTCAGGTGTTCCAATCCCCCCCAATCATGTGATTCATGGTGTTCCAATCGCCTCCCAATCATGTGATTCAGGTGTTCCAATCCCCTCCCCCAATCATGTGATTCAGGTGTTCCAATCCCCTCCCAATCATGTGATACAGGTGTTCCAATCCCCTCCAATCATGTGATTCAACGTGTTCCAATCCCCTCCAATCATGTGATTCAGGTGTTCCAATCCCCTCCAATCATGTGATTCAGGTGTCCCAATCCCCTCCCAATCATGTGATTCAGGTAAGGTGTTTCCAATCCCCTCACCCAATCACGTGATATCAGATGTTTTACCAATATCCTCCAATCATGTGATTCAGGTGTTCCAATCCCCTCCAATCATGTGATTCAGGTGTTCCAATCCCCTCCCAATCACGTGATTCAGTTGTTCCAATCCCCTCCAATCACGTTAATTCAGGTGTTCCAATCCCCTCCCAATCATGTGATTCAGGTGTTCCAATCCCCTCCCCAATCATGTGATTCAGGTGTCCCAATCCCCTCCCCAATCATGTGGTTCAGGTTTTCCAATCCTCTTCCAATCACCTGATTCAAGTGTTCCAATCCCCTCCAATCATGTGATTCAGGTGTTCCAAATCCCCTCCCAATCATGTGATTCAGGTGTTCCAACCCCTCCCAATCATGTTGATTCAGGTGTTCCAATCCCCTCCCAATCATGTGATTCAGGTGTTCCAAACCCCTCCAATCCATGTGATTCAAGTGTTTCCAATCCCCTCCAATCATGTGAATTCAGGTGTTCCAATCCCCTCCCAATCATGTGATTCAGGTGTTCCAATCCCCTCCAATCAATGTGATTCACTGTGTTCCAATCCCTCCAATCATGTGATTCAGGTGTTCCAATCCCCTCCAAGTCATGTGATTCAGGTGTCCCAATCCCCTCGACCAATCATGTGATTCAGGTGTTCCAATCCCCTCCCAATCACGTGATTCAGATGTTCCAATCCCCTCCAATCATGTGATTCAGGTGTTCCAATTCCCCTCCAATCATGTGATTCAGGTGTTCCAATCCCCTCCCAATCACGTGATTCAGTTGTTCCAATCCCCTCCAATCACGTGATTCAGGTGTTCCAATCCCCTCCCAATCATGTGATTCAGTGTTTCCAATCCCCTCCCAATCATGTGATTCAGGTGTCCCAATTCCGCTCCCAATCATGGTGTTCATGGTTCCAAAACCCCTCCAATCATGTGATTCAGGTGTTTCAATCCCCTCCCGATCATGGTAATCAGGTGTTTCCAATCCCCTCCCAATCACATGATTCAGGTGTTCCATTCCCTCCCAATCATGTGATTCAGCGTGTTCCAATCCCCTCCAATCATGTTATTCAGGTGTTCCAATCTCCTCCCAAACATGTGATTCAGGTGTTCCAATCCCCTCCATATCATGTGATTCAGGTGTTCCAATCCCCTCCAATCATGTGATTCAGGTGTTCCAATCCCCTCCCAATCATATGATTCAGGTGTTTCCAATCCCCTCCAATCATTGTGATTCAGGTTGTTCCAATCCCCTCCCAATCATGTGATTCAGGTGTTCCAATCCCCCCTCCAATCATGTGATTCAGGTGCCCCAATCACCCTCCCAATCATGTGATTCAGGTGTTCCAATCCCCCTCCCAATCATGTGATTCAGATGTTTCAATCCCCTCCAATCATGTGATTCAGGTGTTCCAATCCCCTCCCAATCATGTGATTCAGGTGTTCCAATCCCCTCCCAATCATGTGATTCAGGTGTTTCCAATCCCCTCCCAATCATGTGATTCAGGTGTTCCAATCCACTCCCAATGATGTGATTCAGGTGATTCCAATCCCCTCCAATCATGTGATTCAGGTGTTCCAATCCCCTCCAATCATGTGATTCAGGTGTTCCAATCCCCTCCAATCATGTGATTCAGGTGTTCCAATCCCCTCCAATCATGTGATTTCACGTGTTCCAATCCCCTCCAATCATGTGATTCAGGTGTTCCAATCCCCTCCAATCATGTAATTCAGGTGTTTTCCAATCCCCTCCCAATGATGTGATTCAGGTGTTCCAATCCCCACCCCCAATCATCATTGATTCAGGTGTTTCCAATCCCCTCCCAATCATGTGATTCAGGTGTTCCAAATCCCGATCACACATTCAGAGTGTTCCAAATCCCCGTCCCAATCATCAAACCCCTCCAATCATGTGATTCAGGTGTTTCAATCCCCTCCCGATCACATGATTCAGGTGTTCCAATCCCCTCCCAATCCACGATGATTCAGGTGTTCCATTCCCCTCCAAACATGTTGATTCAGGTGTTCCAATCTCCTCCAAACATGTGATTCAGTGTGTTCCATTATCCCGCCCATAACATGTGATTCCAGGGTGGTGTTCCAATCCCCGCTCCCAATCATGTAGATTCATGAATGTTTCAATTCCCAATCCCCCCCCCCCCCCCCAATCATGTGATTCAGGTGTTCCCAAAGTCCCATCTCCACAATCAGTGGATTCAGGATGGTTCCAATCCCTCCCAATCAATGTGGATTCAGGTGTTCCAATCCCCTTCCCAATCATGTGATTCAGAGTGTTCCAGATCCCCTCCAATCATGGGATTCAGGTTTCCACACCCTCCTCCAATCATGTGATTCAGGTGTTCCAATCCCCTCCCAATCATAGGGATTCAGGTGTTGTCCAATCCCCTCCCAATCAATGAGATTCAGGTGTTTCCAATCCCCTCCCAATCATGTGATTCAGTGTTCCAATCCCCACCAAACATGTGATTCAGGTGTTCCAATCCCTCCAATCATTGATTCAGGTTTCCAATCCCCCCTCCAATCATGTGATTCAGGTTCCCAATCCCCTCCCAATCATTTGATTTCAGTGTTCCAATCCCCTCCTCCCAATCACGTATACAATGTTCCAACCCCGTTCCATCATGTGATTCAGGTGTTCCAATCCCCTTTCCAATCATGTGATCCGGTGTTCCAATCCCCTCCCAATCACAGTGAATCAGGTGTTCCAATCACCCTCCAATCACGTGATTTCAGGTGTTCCAATCCCCTCCCAATCATGTATCAGTTTCCAAACCCCCCCCAATCATGTGATTCAGGTGTCCAATCGCCTCCCAATCTGTGATTTCAGGTGTTCCAATCCCCTCCCAATCATGTGATTCAGTGTTCCATCCCCTCCCAATCATGTTATACAGGTGTTTTCCAAACCCCTCCAATCATTGTATTCAACTGTGTTCACAATCCCTCCAATCATGTGATTTCAGTGTTTCCCAATCCCCATCCCAATCATGTGATACTGGTGTCCCAATCCCCTCCCAATCATGTGATTCACTGTTTCCAATCCCCTCCCAATCATGTGATTCGAGGTGTTCCAATCCCCCCTCCAATCATGTGATTCAGGTGTCCCAATCCCCTCCCAATCATGTGATTTCAGGTGGTTCCAATACCCTCCCAATCACTGATTCAGATGTTCCAATCCCCTCCATTCATGTGATTCAGGTTGTTTCCCCAATCCCCTCCACAATCATGTGAATCAGGTGTTCCAAATCCCTCCAATCACTGATTTCAGTTGTTCCCATTCCCCTCCAATCAACGTGATTCCAGTGTTTCCAATCGCCCGTCACCAATCATGTGATTGCAGGTGTTTCCCAATCGCTCCACTCCCAATCATGTGATTGCAGGGGTCCCAATCCCCTCCAATCATGTGGTTCAGTGTCCAATCCTCTTCCAATCACCGTGAATTCAAGTGTTCCAAATCCCCATCCAATCATGGTGATTCAGGTGTTTCCAATCCCCCTCCCAATCATGTGGTTTCAGGTGTTCCAATCCCCTCCCTATCATGTGATTTCAGGTGTTCCAATCCCCACGCCACATCATGGATGAATTCAGGTGTTCCAAACCCCTCCAATCAATGTGATTCCAGGTGTTCCAATCCCCTCCAATCATGTGTTTCAGGTGTTCCAATCCCCTCTCCAAATCATTGTGATTCAGGTGTTCCAATCCCCTCCAAATCATGTGATTTCACGTGTTCCAATCCCCTCCAATCATAGGTGATTCAGGGGTTCCTAATCCCTCGCAATCAGGTGATTCAGTGTGTCCCAATCCCCTCCCAATCATGGTATTTCTGTGTTCCAATCCCCTCCCAATCAACGTGATTCAGATTTCCAATCCCCCTCCATTCATGTGATTCAGGTGTTCCAATCCCTCTCAATCATGTGATTTCAGGTGGTTCCCAATCCCCTCCCCAATCCACAAGTGATTCAGTTGTTCCAATACACCCTCCAATCACGGGAAATTCCAGTGGTGTTCCAAATCCCCATCCCAATCATGTGATTCAGTGTTCCAATCCCCATCCCCAATCAGTGTGAATCAGGTGTCCCAATCCGCTCGCCAATCATGTGTGTTCAGGTGTTCCAAACCCCTCCAATCATGGGATCAGGTTTTCAATCCCCTTCCCGATCATGGTAATTCAGGTGTTCCCAATCCCCATCCCAATCGACATAGATTCAGTGTTCCATTCCCCTCACAATCAATTGATTCAGGTGTTCCCAATCCCCTCCAATCATTGTTATTCAGGTGTTCCAATCTCCTCCCAAACATGTGAATCAGGTGTTTCCAATCCCCTCCATATCATGTGAATTCAGGTGTGTTCCAATCCCCTCCAATCATAGTGGATTCATGTGTTTTCCAATCCCACTCCCAATCATATGAGATCAGGTGTTCCAATCCCCTCCAATTCATGTGATTCAGGTGTTCCAAATCCCTCACAATCATGTGATTTCAGGTGTTCTCAATCCCCTCCAATCATGTGATTCAGTGCCCCCAATCCTCCTCCCAATCATGTGATTCAGGTGTTCCAATCTCCCTCACCAATCATGTGATGTCAGATGTTTCAATCCCCCACCCTCCAATCATGTGATGTCAGGTGTTCCAATCCCCTCCCAATCATGTGATTCAGGATGTTCCAATCCCCTCCCCAATCTTGGGATTCAGGTGTTCCAATCCCCTCCCAATGAATTTGATTCATAGGTGTTTCCAATCCCCTCCCAATGATGTGATTCAGGTGTTCCAATCCCCTCCAATCATGTGATTACAGGTTGTTCCAATCCCCTCCAATCATGTGATTCAGGTGTTTCCCTTCCCCGCCAATCATGTGATTCAGGTGTACCCAATCCCCTCCCAATTCATGTCTTCAGGTGTTACCAATCCCCTCCCCATCATGTGATTCACGTGTTCCAATCCCCTCCAATGCATGTGATTCAGGTTTTCCAATCCCCCTCCAATCAATGTGATTTCAGGTGTCCCCAATCCCTCCCAATCATGTGATCAGGTGTTCCAATCACGCCTCCCAATCAAACGTGGAGTGTCAGATGTTCCAATCCCCTCCAATCATGATGATTCAGGTGTTTTCCAATCCCCCTCCAATCATGTGATTCAGGTGTTCCAATATCCCCTCCCAATCACGTGATTCAGTGTGTTCCAATTCCCCTCCGCATCAACGTGATTCATGTGTTGTCCAATTCCCCTTCCCAAATCATGTGATTTCAGGTTTTTCCAATCCCCTCCCGAATCATGATGATTCAGGTGTCCCAATCCTGCTCACCAATTCATTGTGGTTCAGGTGTTTTCCAATCCTCTCCCCAATTCAACCTGATTCCAAGTGTTTACATTCCCACTCCAATCATGTGATTCAGGTGTTCACAAATCCCCTCCCAATCATGTGATTTCAGGTTTTGCTCCAATCCCCTTCCCAATGATGGTATTCAAGGTGTTCCAATCCCCTCCCAATCCATTGTGATTCAGTGTGTTCCATAAGCCCTCCAATCATGTGATTCAGGTGTTTCAATCCCCTCACCGATCATGGTAATCATGTGTCCAATCCCCTCCTCCCAATCACATGATTTCATGTGTTCCAATTTCCCCTCCAATTCATGGAATTCAGGTGTTTCCAATCCCCTCCAATTCATGTTATTCAGGTGTTGCCAATCTCCTCCCAATCATGTGATTCAGGTGTTCCAATCTCCATATCATGTGATTCAGGTGTTACAATCCCCTCCAATCATGTGATTCAGGTGTTCCAATCCCCTCACCAATCATGTGATTCAGGTGTTCCAATCCCCTCCCAATCATGGGATTCAGGTGTCCAAATCCCCTCCCAATCATGTGCTATCAGATGTTCCAATCCCCTCCAATCAATGTGATTCCACACATGTTCCAATCCCGACCCCTCCAATCAAGTGATTCATCTGTTCCAATCCCCTCCAATCATGTGATTCAGGTGTCCCAATCCCCTCCCAATCATGTGATTCAGTGTCCAATCCCCTCCCAATCACGTGATTCAGATGTTCCAATCCCCTTCCCGATCATGTGATTCAGGTGTTCCAATCCCCCTTCCAATCATTGATTCAGGTGTTCCAACCACTATCCAGCAATCATGTGTGATTCAGGTGTCCCAATCCCCTCGACCAATCATGTGATTCAGGTGTTCCAATCCCCTCCCAATCATGTGATTTCAGTGTTCCAATCCCCTCCATCAATGTGATCAGGTGTCCCAATCCCCTCCCAATCATGTGATTCAGTGTTCCAATCCCCTCCATATCATGTGATTCAGGTAGTTTCCAATCCCCTCCATGGACACAGGTTGTATACAATCAAGCCCCTAGGCATAGCAGACTGCTTCTACAAACATTGGTGAAAGAATGGGTCGCTTCTCAGGAGCTCAATGACTCCAAGTGTGGTCCCGTGATAGGTGGCCCCCTGTGCAATAAGTCCATCCGTGACATTTCCTGCTACTAAATATTCCACAACGCTCAACTGTTAGTGGATTATAACAAAGTGGAAGCAACTGGGAACAACAGCCACTCAGGCCACCAAGCTGGTAGGGCCACGTCACATGACAGGGCGGGTCAGCGCATGCATGTGAAGCGCACAGTGCCCAAATCGCCAAATGTCTGCAGAGTCAATAGCTAAAGACCTCCAAACTTGGTGTGGCCTTCGATGATGCCCAAGCAACAGTGCATAGAGAGCTTCATGGAATGGGTTTCCATGTCCCCGAGCAGCTGCATCCAAGCTATCCATCACCAAGTGCAATGCAAAGCGTCGGATGCCGTGGTGTAAAGCACGCCGCACTGACTCTAGAGCAGGGAGACGTGTGTTCTCTCTGGAGTGACCAATCACACACCTCTGTCTGGCAATCTGACGAACGTGTCTGGGTTTGGCGTTGGCCATGGAGGAAACGGTACTTGCCCTGACTGCATTGAGCCCAGGTTGTAAGGTTTGGTGGAGGGGGGATTATGTGTGTGGGGATTTTGGCCCCCTAGTTCCAGTGAAGGGAACTCCTTAAGTGCGTCAGAATACCAAAACATTTTTGAACCAATTTCATGCTCCAACTTGTGTGGGAAGAGTTTGGGGATGGCCCATTCCTGTTCCACAACATGACTGCCCACTATGCACAAAGCAGACTCAAAAGAGAAGAAGTCTGGGTTGTCCGTTTGCGATTGGTGGGTCGGGGGGTGAGTGTCAAGGTGCACTATAGACCAAAATATCAGTAGAATGCCTAGAAGGACCCATGACATCCAGTAGCTCAGCAAGAAACAAATTTCTATATTTGAGAACGTATTTCGATTTTTAGTGGACAGCAGTTCCTAAATAAAATTATGAAACACCCTATTATCTCTGAACTTCATAATGAACAGCTGCCTCTGTTCATGGGACCTTCGCCCCGTTTACATCATAAGACTGCGAAATGCAATTTTCTGGGTCTGTCCAGCAAAAGGACAGACGGCACGCGGTAACGGCGATGAAGGTTGGCGTGAATTTTTAAGTTAATATAAATAACGTTCTCCTTCACAACACATTGAGAATGGTCATTTTCACCTCTGAGTCATACCATGAAGCACTTCTCTGCGCACTCTGACTGTTACAGACGCTCAGCAAATCAGAAGTGGCGTCAGGCAAACGCGATCATCGGATTAGGTTCCAGACTGAAGTGTTGAAAGGAGACGTCCGTGCCGACATAAAAAGCCTCTGATGATGGTCCCAGAGCAGGGGTGGACTGACCATATTGAAACTCGGGCACTGCCCGAGGGCCCGGGATCAGTAGGGGGCCCTATGAGATGCCCCTGGTACCTTTTTCAATAGGCTTTTTTGAGTTTGGGCAAGGACACAGGGCCCCATGATCCCCTATTGCCCGGGGGCCCCATGAGTTGTCTCATCCTCTCTGGTTCCAGAGGTTGCTAATTTTTTGAATTGGAGCAGTCAACCGGACGGAAGCCCCATAGTAGCACAGTATCCATATTTTAAAGAGGAACTTCACCCCCCTTCCCCCATTTCCCAACCCTTCCTACCCCCTTACCTTTTATCTGTGGGGTATTCAGAAAAAATATACACACACCATGACCAGAGAATTCAGTGATGTTCTGTAGAGATCTTCTGCTCACCTGGTCCCCCCCCCCCCATCTTCTTCTCTGCGTCATTGGGTTCTTTTGCCGCCAACGACCCTAATGACATGAATGTGTCCATGCCGCATCATTAGAGTCCGACTGCAAGAAACCAGAAAGACAGCCGTCCCCTGATGACGTGCAACATCACATGTGCTGTAGAGTACCCTGAAGCCTCCCTGAGATGCATGACTTGAGCATCCCAGGAAGCTGCAGGCAGTAAATATGTCATTCTTGTCTTGGCATGATGAAACTTGAAACTTCATTATCTAATTGTGTTGTGTTGTGTGTGTTGGGGGGGGGGGGAGGAAGGTAGAATTATGGAAAGTAGTGGAGGATGAAGGACCATTTAAAAGAGAAGTTGACCTGCAGTGTGGTACATGTGATAAGGGTATGGTCTATGAGAAGGGATGGTCCATGAACAGAGATAACCCATATAAGGGATGGGTCCATTATAAGGAATGCCGGTCCATGATAAGGATGATCCATGAGTTAGGAATGGTCCATGATAAGGAATGGTCCATAAATATGAGGTATGGTTCCATTATAAGGAATGTCTATGATATAAGGATGGTCTATGATAATGGATGTTTCATGATAAGGGATAGCCCATGTAAGGAATGGTCCATCATAAGGGATGGTACCCAAAATATGAGGAATGGTCCCAAAATATGAGGGATGGTCCATTATAAGGAATGGTCTATGGGATAAGGATGGTCCTATGATAAAAGATGGTCTATGATATGGGCTATAGTCTATGATAAGGGATAGATCATGATAGGAGCATTGTCCATTATATGTATGGTCCATGATAAGGATGGTCCATAATACGGGACTGACTCCACGAAAAGGAGATGATCCCTAATATACGTATTAGTCTATGGTGAGGGATGGTCCTATGGTAAGGGATGATCTATGAAGGGGAAGGCCCATTGATAAGGAATTGTACATTATAAATGATAGCCTATGATAAGAGATGGTCCATGATAAGGGATAGGCCATGATAAGGGGCAGTCCATGATAAGCGGATTAGTCTATGATATAAGGGATGGGTCCACATGATAGGGATGGTCCATGATAGAGGATTGTCTATGCTTTTAAGGAAATGTCTATAATAAAGGATGGTGCATGATATCTGGGATGGTCTATCATAAGGGATGGTCGATGATAGGGGCTTATGTCCTATGATAAGGGATGTCTATGTTAAGGATGCCATGGTCTATAATAAAGGATATATGGTCCATGATAAGGGATGGTCTATGAGAAAGGATGGTCCATGATAAGGGATGGTCTAGATAAAGGATGGTCCATGATAAGGAATGGTCACTATGATAAAGGATGGTCCATGATAGGGATTGTCTATGATAAGGGATGGTCTATGTTTAAGGGATGGTCCATGATATGGGATTGTCTATGTTCAAGGAATGTCTATAATAAAGGATGGTCCATGATAAGGGATAAGATACCCCCCCCCCCCCCCCCCTATCAAAAGGGAGTGGTCCATGATAGGGGATTGTCTATGATAAGGATGGTGACAATAAGGATAGTCCATGATAAGGGATGGTATAAAATGGTTAGTGTGTTTTTTTGTGTATAGTTTTGGGCCATATAGGCCGTTTTAAGCGGCAGGTTTAGTATGGAAATGTTTATGGTTTACGTTTATGTTTATATCTTACCATAAAAGGCTCCTAATTATATGGTCTTGGCCATAGAGGCCTTGTACTGCACATATATTGTATATAAGTTCCGTTTTTTTTTTTTTGTTTTTTTTTTTTTTTTTTTTTCCTTTCAGGTTATGGACTTTTATGTTCTTTGTTTTTATTTCTCCCACAGGGGTTGTTGGGACTTTTTCAGTTTCTTTGTTTAGTTTTGTATTTTATTTATTCTATTTATTTTACTTTGTACTTTTATATATAAGTTGAGGATGGATATGTATGACATTAATACATAAATAAAAAATCTCCATGATAAGGGATGGTCCATAATAATGGATGGTGCATAATACGGGATGGTCCATGATAGGGGATTGTCTATGATAAAGGATGGTTCATGATAGGGGATGGTCTATGATAAAGGATGGTTCATGATAGGGGATTGTCTATGATAAGGGATGGTCTATATTAAGGGATGGTGTATAATAAAGGATGATCAATAATAAAGGATGATCCATAATAAAGGATGGTCCATGATAGGGGATTGTATATGATAAAGGATGGTTCATGATAAAGGGATGGTCCATAATGAAGGATGGTCCATAATGAAGGATGGTGCATAATGAAGGATGGTGCATAATAAGAGATGGTCCCAAAATATGAGGGAACGTCCATTATAAGGAATGGTCTATGATAAGTATTATCTATTGTCCTTTATAAGGGATAGTCCAGGTACCCAACCCATCCAGTGTTGTTCGATTCTGAGGATATTTCAGCCATTGTTAGCTCTGAGCCGAGATTGGCGGCACGTTGGCGGCACGTTGGCGTGACAAGTAAGTATAACCTTTAAGCCTTTTGTTAAACGTTTTCATCTCTAGACAAGAGCTATTAGTTGGACATGACAGGTCCCCTTTGACATGAAGTCGGGTCGGTTTTATTATTCTGATCGTACTTCGAAAGTGGCAAATGTCAATAAGTCTTCTTTAATAGAAAGCAGAAAAGCGGCATAACCTTCCCATCTGTATAATCAGAGAAAAACCGAGAGAAATTATACATTTTTTACCCAACAAAGAGCATTTATTTGCCATTACGGTGGAGTCAGTCGGCACCACGGAGCTCCAGCCTCATAATTCATGCGCTGCTATTAAACCACCTCACATCTGTGCCGCCTTTTTTTTTTTTTTTAAATTGTCATCATCTTTAATTAGGTTCCAAAAAAATACAATTGTGTTAAAATCAGCACATTTTGCTAGAAACACCAGAACCTCCAAAACATTATATAGGCCATGGAGAATAAAATGGGCAATAGGTCGAAAGGGAGGGGGGGAGGGGGGCAGGCATGATAGGGGACTATAAGCTATGAAATTGCCAGCATGACCAGGGCCCCAGAGATGGGGGATGATCTGCACTTTACCAGTGTCCTGAGATGGGGATGCACAGCTGCCCATGTGTATTGTACATGATCGGCTTTTATGTAACTGGGATGATGTGCTCATGTTAAAGGGATGATCCATGGTGAGGGATGGTCCATGATAAGGG